GCTGATGCTGATGACGATGGTGATGGTGAGACTGTGGTTGACGATGAGGATGATCATGCTGATGATGCTGATGATGACGCTGATGATGATGCTGATGATGGTGGTGGTGATGATGATGATGCTGTTGCGGCTGCTGATGCTGATGATGCTGACGGTGCTGCTGATGCTGATGCTGCTGCTGCTGCTGACGACGCTGATGATGATGCTGATGCGCATGCTACTGGTGCTGATTATGATGCTGCTGCTGATGGTGATGATGGTGCTGATCAGGTTGCTGATACGGGTACGGGTGATGATGGCGCTGTTACTGCTGCTGATGATGATTCTGAAGGCGATGCTGCTGCTGATGGTGATGACGGTGATTATGATGCTGATGATGATGCTGATGATGATGGTGCCGACGCTGGTGATGATGCTGTTGATGATGATGACGATGGTGATGCTGATGTTGCTGACACTAATGCGGATGATAATGATGGTGATGGTGATGATGGTGATGATGGTGATGATGATGATGATGATGATGATGATGATGATGATGATGATGATGATGATGATGCTGGTGATGCTGATGATGATGCTGCTGATGCTGATGATGCTACTGCTGATGATGATGATGATGATACTGCTGTTGCCGATGAATGTATTGCTGTTGTTGATGATAATAATGATGATGTGGAGGAGGAGGAGGAGAAGGAGGAGGATGAGTAGGAGGATAATGGGGAAGAGGCGGAGAATGGGGAAGGGGAGGAGGAGGGGGAGGAGCAAGAGGAGGAGGAGGAGGAGGAGGAGGAGGAGGAGGAGGAGGAGGAGGAGGAGGAGGAGGGGGAGGAGGACCAGTGTAAACCCAAGAGTCACAGACGATGTTGGATTAAACCATCCCCCTAAGCTCCTTCTCCATAGGCCTCTACAAGTGTTCATTTTCACACAGGGACCTCCTGCCCCGTTGGAAAACAACCGTTTGAAGACCCTGAGGCACGCCAGAACATTATTATCGGTATTCCAACGCCGCGGATAAACCTATCTGTTGCGTCCTGGTGATCCTGAATCGTACAAGAACGTCATTCCTGGGACTTCAACACTACTAATCATCATCGCCATTGCGCTCGTATATTCATGAATCCATGCAAACGCCATGTCTGGTACATCGATCATGGGATTCCGTGAAACTCTCTCAACTTTTTAACAATAATGTGCGCGGTGCTAGGGCGAGAGCCACATTTTGACAAGGACTCACCCTCAATCCGTGAAGCTCTTGCAGACATTGAAGACGAATGTGCGCGGCGCTAATGCGAGAGCCACATTTTGGAAACGCCCCGCCCTCAACCCGTGACGCTCTTGCAAACACTCAAAACGAATGTGCGCGGCGCTAAGGCGAGGGCCACAATTTGAAAACCATCCGCCCTCAATCCGTGAAGCTCTGGATTTTTTTGAAATGAATGTGCGCGGCGCTAAGGCGAGAGCCACATTTTGAAAACCACCCGCCCTCAATCCGTGAAGCCCTTTCACACATTGGAAACGCATGTGCGCGGCGCAAAGGCGAGAGCGACATTTTGAAAACCTCACGCCCATAACCCGGGAAACTCTTACAACTTTTTCAAACGAATGTGCGCGGCGCTAGGGCGAGAGCCACATTTTGAAAACGAACGGCCCTCCATCTGCGAAACCGTTGCCACATTTTAAGCTTCAGAGTCATAAGTGGTGAGGGAGTCTGAGGCGAAACACCCGGCCCGCCTTAAAAACTGGCTTCGGGGTGCGACAGGGCGAAGTTGTTTATAAGGAAAAGGAATGGAGGAGGAGGAAGGGGAGGATGATGAGGAGGAGGAGGAAGAAGCGGAGGGGGAGGAGGAGGAGGAGGAGGAGGAGGAGGGAGGAGGCGGAGGCAGGAGGGAGGAAGAGAGAGGTGATGATGATTGCTATGATGGCTGTATTATGCTGATGATGAATTGGATGATGTGGACGGAGGGGAAGGAGGAGGAAAGGGGAGGCAGGAGGGAGGGAGATAAGGAGGAGGAGGCAGGAGAGGGGAGGGGGGGAGGAAGGAGGAGGGGGAAGGAGGAGAAGGGGGAGGGAGGAGGGGAGGAGAAGGAGGAAGGTAGGAGGCAGGGATGGGAAGGAGGGGAGGGAGGAGGGACCGGGAGGAGGAGAGAGGAGGAGGGAGGGGAGGAAGAGGAGGAGGAGGTGGAGGAGGAACGATGAGGGTGATTTGAGGGAGGAGGAGGATTTGGAGATCGAAGTCGTAGTCGAGGAGGATTTGGAGTCGGAGTCGGAGTCGAAGTCGGAGTCGGAGGAGGAGGAGGAGGGGGCGGAGCAGGAGCAGGAGCAGGAGCAGTCGCAGGAGCAGGAGCAGGAGCAGGAGCACGCGGAGGAGGAGGAGGATGAGGAGAAGGAGGAGGAAGAGGAGGAGGAGGAGGAGGAGGAGGAGGACCAGTGTAAACCCAATCGTCATCAACGATATTGGAATGAACCCTCCAAGCTCCCTCTTCAAAGGCCCCTATAACGGTTCATTTCCATTGAGGAAACTGCCTCGTTGGACGACAACCTTTTGACAACCCTGAAGTGTGCGTAAACATTGTTCTCGGGATTCTAACCCTTACGGATTAACCTGTTGCTTCTTGACCATCATAAGTCGTGCTAGAACGCCATCCCTGGGACTCCATCACCGCGAATCAACGTAACTGTTGCTCCCGCATAATCCGGAGCCCTTCCAAAACACCATTTCTGGTACGCTGACCATGGGAATCCGTGAAACGCTTGCACAGTTTATAAACGAATGCGCGCGGCGTTAAGGCGAGAGGCCACATTTTGAACATGAGCCGCCCTCAATCCGTGAATCACTTACAGTTTTTGAAACGAATGCGCGCGACGCTAAGGCGAGAGCCACATTCTGACAACGACTTGCCCTCAATCCGTGAAGCTCTTGCACATTTTTTAAACGAATGTGCGCGGCGCAAAGGCGAGAGCCACATTTTGAAAAGGACCAGCCCTCCATTTGTGAAACTGTTGCCACGTTTTAAGCTTCAGAGTCACACATGGTGAGGAAGTCTCAGGCGAAACGCCTCGCCCGCCCTAAAAACTTGCCCCTGGGTGCGACAGGGGGAAGTTATTCATAAGGAAAAGGAATGGGTGATGATGATGATGATGATGATGATGATGATGATGGTGATGATTTTGATGATGATCATTATAATGATGATGCTGATGCTGATGCTGATGATGATGATGATGATGATGATGATTATGATGATGATGATAATGATGATGAGGATGATGCTGATGATGATGCTGACGATGCTGATGATGCTGATGACGCTAATGATGATTATGATGATGATGATGCTGATGCTGTTGCTGATGATGATGATGCTGATGCTGATGATGCTGCTGCTGTTGATGATGATACTGATGCTGCTGATGCTGCAGATGATGACGATGATGATGATGTTGATGATGATGATGCTGATGATGATGATGCTGCTGATGCTGCTGATGCTGATGATGATGATGCTGATGCTGCTGATGATGATGATGGTGATGATGCTGATGATGATGCTGATGATGATGATGCTGATGATGCTGATGATGCTGCTGATGATGATGATGATCATGGTGATGGTGATGATGATGCTGATGATGACGATGAGTTCTGCTGCTGTCTGATGATTGATGATGTGATGATTATGCTGATGATGCTGCTGATGATGATGCTGATGCTGCTGATGATGCTCGATGATGATGCTGCTGATGATGCTGATGGTGATGATGATGACGATGACGTGATGCTGCTTGCAATGACTGTATGCTGATGATGATGATTGATATGCTGCTTGCTGCTCTGATGATGATGATTGATGAGGAGGATGATGATATGCCTGATATGGTGATGTGTATGGTTATGCTGATGTGATGGTGATTGGGGTGATGATGCTGATGAGATGATGCGGATGATGATGATATGCTGGGGAGGAGCGAGGCTATTGCCACAATTGATGGTGAGGGATGAGGAAGGAGAGGAGGTAGGATGATGCAGAGGAGGAGGAGAGGAGGAGGAGGCGGCGTCAGATGTGAAGTCGGAGTCGGAATTCGGGTCGGAAGTCGGCTTCGGAGTCGGAGTCGGAGTCGGAGTTGCGTCGGAGTCGGGAGTCGGAGTCTTAGTAAGAGTCGAGCGGAGTCGGAGTCGGAGTCGGCGGAGGCGAGTCCAGTTCGAATCGGAGTCGGAGTCGGAGTCTTATTCGGAATCGAGTCGAGTCGTAGTCGGCGTCGAGGGGAGGAGGAGGGGAGGAGGAGGAGGAGGAGGAGGAGGAGGAAGGAGGAGGAGGAGGACGCGGAGGAGGAGTAGAGAAGGAAGAGGAGGAGGAGAGATGAGGAGGAGGAGTAGGAGGAGGATGAGGATGAAGGAGGAGGAGGAGGACTAGGAAGAGGAGGAGGAGGGCGAACAGAAAGGCCAGCGGCCTCCTTTTCGGACTTCTTTCGAGAGCTTCTCGGAGTCTTCTCGGGGCCTCTTGGGGGTCTCTTGGCAGTCCCAGGGGCCTCTTGAGGCTTCTTGGCTGCCTCTGGGGGGCCTCTTGGGGCCTCTTGGGGGTCTCTTGGGAGCCTCTTGAGGGCATCTTGGGCGCCTCCTGGGGCCTCCTGGGCACCTCATGGCGCCGTCTTGGGGCACCGTTGGGAGCCTTGGGGGCACCCTTGAGGACATCTTGGAAGAAAGAATTCGAACAAAAAGAGGGGGGCTCCTTATTCAGCCCCCCCCTCCCCAGAGGCCAACATTTAGCTAACACCGTCGTAAAATCAGTGATGTTGACGCCCTCGCCGAGGCCGTTTGGACGCTCTAACCCTTCGCGCCCCCCCCCCCCCCCCCAAGGTCCAGGGGGAGGTGATAGGGGAGGGACAAACCCTTCCCCGAAGGGGAAGAAGGGGGGTTGGAAGAGGGAGCTCTCTAAATCACTCACGCCCAAAAGGGCTGGTGGGATTCGTCTGTGTTCCCCCTGGGCCCCTTACTCCTTCGGAGGACACGAACATCCTCGACTACAACCTCCCGATTACCATGGCCGCAAACCTGCTGTGGACGTGGCGGTCGGCCGCCATCGTGGTGGTGTGCATGCTCGTGGGCTGGTGCTCGGCGCCGCGCGCAAGGGGGGGGCGCCAAAAGAAGAGGAGTGGGGAGGGGGGGGGCGTTGCGCGTCGGCGCGGGGGGACCGGCTCTCCAAGAGCCTAGAGGGCTTCTTATGTCTTCGGGCCCTTTCTAGGGCCGTATCGAGGCCGTACCTTATCCTTGCGCGTTGCCGCTCTTGGATTGCTTCTCGGTGGCGCCTCGGGCTGGGCCTCCTCATTCTCCTCCTCCCTCCTCCTCTCTCCTCCTCCTCCTCCTCCTCCTCCTCCTCCTCCTCCTTCTCTTCCTCCTCCTCCTCCTCCGCCTCCTCCCTCCTCTCTCCTCCCCCTCCTCCTCCTCCTCCTCCTCCTCCTCCTCCTCCTCCTATACCTTCTGTTTCACGCTCTCTCCGCCGCGCATTGTGGTGACACGCTCAGGGGGTTCAGGCTTGTCTCTGGTGGCCAAACAGAAAAACATCCCTGGGGAGGCGGAGGAGGAGGAGGAAGATGAGTATTTAAATGCCCTTTCTCTAGAGACTCCAGAGATGAATTTCTGGACGCTGACATAGTAGATGCGGCTCTGGCCGCCGGCGAAAACGACCCGTTTTACGCCAGGCTATGGGCAGTTAAGCCCGACATCAGTCAACCTGCCGAGGATTGGCAGTTGCAGCATTTCGACGCCAACGGGCCGTGCGACCCGTCACCTTTAAGTAAGGACCTCCCGATCTACACTGACGGGTCCGATCTGCATCCCGCTTTCCCTGACATCGGCAGGTCGGGAGTAGCAGTAGTTCAACTTTCAGACACAGGCGAGCTGTACAGAGCAATCCGCTCGCCTCTGCCCTGTAGCTACAAGCAGGCCCCAGTGCACGCCGAGCACGCAGGGCTAGCGATAGCCGCAGTCTGGTCGACCCACCCGCGCTCCCAACCCATTTACGTTGACTGCGCCACCCTTCTTAAAGGGCTTAAGCCGCACATTGCTTTAAAAGGCTCGTTCCAGTTTTCCGATTACTGGAAAGTCATAGCGGCGCAGCTCCCTTCCGATTCCTGGCTGGACGTCAGGAAAATTAAAGCACACAGAGAGCTTAGTGAGGCGGTGGACGAACAGGATGCCACGCACATTACGGCCAACAGGGCTGCTGACTGGCACGCCAAAGAAGCGGCCAAGCTCCATGACCTCCCACCCGAGGAAGTCGAGCAGTACTCAGCGCTGGTGACCACATATACCGAATTACTCATAGGTGTAGGTAAGATTCTTGGGGGGTGGCCTCAGGCCGGGGACTTGTACGGTGAACTTAACCGTGAGTGCCCGGAGAGAGCCCCCCGTAAATTCTTAAGCCAACACAGCCCTATCTGGGACAATGGCAGATTCCGTTGCACGATTTGTCTTAGGAGAGTCTCCCCAAACACCAAAAAACCCTGTCAGGAGGTGGCCTCGCACATACAGGCGGCCATCGAAACGGCAGGGGAGCTGAGACACAAACTGCAGATAGGTTGGGTCATAGGATCGCGCATGCCCATTGTTTTCTGTGCAGCCTGCGGAGGGTTCACGTCCAGCGTCCGCAGTCGTAAGCTGCACGCCAAGTGTACTGCGAAGGTGTCCTCGGAGCTCAGAAAGCTCCGTCGTGGCGAGGTCCCTGGTACACAACCGCTGCAGAGGTTTAAGAATGTGATGCCAGTTTAATGTGCGGCCACCCTTGAAACGGACAGGTCGGGAACCGACGTGCGCACTTTTGGAACTGGTGGGGGGGACATGTTCGTTAACAAAGCGTCCGGCTCCCGACAAGGCATCAACAATTTAAGAACGAGTTGTTCTTCTAATATCTTCCCTCGCCTGGAGGGTGGAGAGCGCGGGGATGCCCTAGAGCGAAGGTTTGGGGTCTGGCTGAGCAGCTTGGGATCGGGAGGTGGCAGCAGGCAGGTAGCAGCAGGAATGGGCCCCCGCGCATTTTAATGTTCCCCTCACTCCCCTCCTCCTCGACGTCTCCGACAATTTCGGCGACGTCGGCGGCGCCCTGCAGGCCGCCGAGGAAGGAGCGAGGAGGGAGGAGGGTGATTTCCCAGGGGGCTGGCTTGCAGGTTCATCTCGCCTCTCCCTGGTCCGACCCTTTTTATTTTCCTTTCGGTAGTTCTGGACCTCTGGTTTTGGACTCCGATTCTGGTTCTGGTTCTGGTTCTGGAGGAGGAGGCGGGGGAGGAGGAGGAGAAGGAGGACGAGGAGGAGGAGGAAGAGGAGGAGGAGGCGGAGGAGGACGAGGAGGAGGAGGAGGAGGAGGAGGAGGAGGA